ATAAACATCCTGAATTACTGGAAGATTCAGTAAGAGCTAATTATATTTATTATTTGGATTTGTGAATGAAAGCATTTTCTCAATGTGGACCATATGGCAATGCTCAGAAACTGCCTATTATCATTTGTATTAGTTTTTACTGCAAATCAAAGATCTAAAAATATATTCATTTCTGATCTGGCTATTGGGTTTCTTTCAATGGTCCATTTGAGTAATGTGGCTTTACAGGTTCCAGAATATCTCAGCTGCACAGGACGAAGAAAGAAAAGAACAGACTTGGCTTCTGTAGATTTCCATTGCCAGACAGTATCACCTCTGTCTGGAAAAAAAAGGGGAAAAGAACAAAACAGAGAAAATTTTCCAGCTGGGAGTTGATGAGGCCATCTCTAGGTCTTTCTATGTCATACAGAAATGCAACATCACAGCTCGACACACTTTTTTTTTTTTTTTTTTTTTCTTCTTTGTTTGCAAAGGTACCTTAGAATGCTTTAAATATTCTCCACTCTGGAGCAGTTGTCTCTGGAGTTGTTACTGGGAAGGCACTGGAGAAAGCATAACATAACAGCACTGTCATGAAAGTTATAGCTCCCCATGAAAATAAATTTGTGAATTGATGGACATCAATCAAAGAAATGAATGCTGAAGAAGAAAAGAAATTAATTTTTAGGAGCACTCCAGAAGGAAAAGCACTGTAAATCCTTAACCTACTAGATCAGAAAAGACTCAGGAGCTAATATGTTTTGTTCATGTGGAGTGATTTTGAGAATTATCTTCTTGTTCACAGCCTGCATCTAAAAGGAAATGAAAAATTCTAGTGATTTTGGAGGAGCAGAGAGGTGAAATGAAATTTTGTAAGGAAGGGTCACCAAGCACACAGCATACAGCTTTCTGTACGATGTTGACAGCAGTTCAAATGTTACTCAGTTCAATTGCAGTGAAGGTTAGAGCAGAGTATGTTTTCAAATTAAAACCAGCAACAGCTGGTATTTTTAGCTAAATCCATAGAAAATTTTTCAAATAAGCATCTCTCCAGATGACAGTTTAGTTGGTTAATTTGTATTTCGTAGTATGACATTTTTTTTTTTTTTCATTTTACTGCATATGGAAATCAGACATCCAAGCCAAGGAAACCAAACTCCTTTCTGAAATTCATAAAAAAAGCAGTCCCCTCCAGTGACATCATTCATCTCAAGACAAGCATTTGAGTTAGGTCAGAGAAAATATCATCTAGACTACCCAGTGTTTTCCATTTACTGAACCAGAAATCCATGTGATCAGTTCAGACTTACACAGATAACTTCTAGATATCCAAAACCAAGTGAGGTAATCCCTACGCCCTATTCAAGATTAACATTTCCCCATCATATCATTTACCTGTTGTTATACAAGCAGTTATACCTACAGGTGCTTCATAGGACAAACTTTTTAAAAGTATAATTTAAAGTTATTGCTACTCTTTGTAAGAACGATTTATGGTCATCTAAAAATTTTGCTGTATTAAGAATGAATATGATGTTAATAAATAGTAGTGGCAGTGCCAACCTAGTTAGATATTCTAGAAACATAGCAGCAGCCAGAGGATACTGTAGCAATCTACAAAATGTGATTAGCTGTGTCTTAGGAACATTTTAGTTATCTAATAACCCTTTCTTTAAGGAACCATCATAATATGTGACTTTTTTCATTAAGCCCTCATTGAAACAAGTATACTTGGCTAATTAAAATTAGCAGCAATGAAGGTGAAAACTCATGCTGATTCACCTGGGAGAGTGATTATGGATGTAGATATTTCCACCTTGGGGTCACCAGTGCAAATCCAGCCGGATCTGTAGAGATTTCAGACTACCCCAGATTAAATGTTTATTTGTTTATCTAATGAATTATGAATCTTGGTTTTGTTCCTACTGAACAGATGTCCAAAAACCCCTCAAACCCAGCGCTACAAGAGGTAACAGCTGTCACTTTTGTAACTGATCCTGTAAGAGGATAAAAAAAACAGGACATATGTTTACACTGGACTGACTACTCCTCCCCTAGGGTCATACTGTCACCCTGCTGCAGGTCAAATGTGAAGTTCAAGTCTGGAAATCCTAGGCAAATAATTTAAAAATATTATTTCAGTCCTTTATTTTACATATCCCTAGTTATAGTAGAGCTTTTTGTTTTCTATATATTTTTTATATTTTTCTAAAACATATTATTTTTTCTATTTGAAAAAAAAAAAGTCTTTCCCATTAAAAGATTACAGGTTAGTTAAGTGCTGGAACAGATTTTATTGAGCTAACATTGTCTTTGAGGATGGAGATAAACTAGGTGATTTCTCAAGAGTCCTTCTAGACTTAATTACTTCAGAAATTATAACACTGTGGAAAAGAAATTTCATCAGTAAAAGTGAAACAGCAACATATTTCTGCAGGATATAAATAGAAGCGTCTGAGATATCCCTTGCAATAAAGAATAGATAAAACATCCATGGCAGAGGTGTGCAGGCAGGTTGGTAGTGAGGGAGATTTCCTGCACTCTAGATGTTCGTGGCACCACTCGCCATAGCATCACACTGGCAATATTCCTAAGCATTGTACCCAAAACTGGCAGGGAGAGAGAGAAAAGTGGTGTGTTACGTCACCATGTGTGAGCACACTGTAGCTGGAGGGTATGTAGGCAAAGTAGATTACAAGCCACCAAAAGGGAGGGGTCCTAATGGAAATTCGGGCAGGCGCTGTATGAGCAGAAGGCTTCCTGCAGTTATATCATAAGATAGCACTATATCAGCCATCTGCTGATGCACAGTAAATAACAAAAAGGTATTTTGCCTGCAGGCTGTAAGCATCACTGATAACTGGATAACAAAAACTTCTGGTTGAGTGTATATCCTGCCCAAAGGATGACCAGAATTGGTTTGACAATCAGGCTGAATGACAAGTAGTCAACAAGTCAACAAAAATTGATTACAAAGTCATGGAATATTGAAAAAAAAACCCCAAACAAACAACAACAACAACAACAAAACCAAACACAAAAATATACCTTCAAGAGGGAAGAATATTTCCTTACCCTTGCTAGATGCAAACCCTACTGAATGCTGACTTTTTGGTTTTTCTATTATCACTAACCGTGGATGGCTCAGTAAGTGCCATTGTACTCACTGAGTCAATACTGAACCAATATTACAGTAGTTAAGATTAGGTTTAATTATACCAACTCTAATTAAAGTACATAGAATTGCAATAGTAATTATATTTTCATACCTGATAATTTAAAGAGGGACTTGTCTTTCCCCATTCAAAAATTAGGTGCCCAGTTTAAGTGAATTACCCTTAGTACTTTCTGGATAAAGAGAGGTATCTTCAAGGTATGATCCACCTCATGTCTCTTGGAATAACATAAATTACCTTCTGTGGGCCACTTTCTCTCCACTGCTACAGACGGAGTCTAGAGGACTTGTATAAAGAAAATACTCAAGTTCCGTATGGATAAGTTTAGATGAGGTAATGATCACCCTTAAATTCTTTTCCATTTCACAAGCACTTGCTTTGTGTTTGGATGAGTTCAAATGGATGTATTTAATGTTGAGGATTTCAATGGTCCTGGAGCTGCGTATGAAACACTGTCCTACAAATTGTGCTCTGTGTGCGGTAATGGAGAGAAGGTGGATTTTTGACTCAAGATTGTAAATGAATAATTTCCCAGGGGAAAATGGTGAAGTTGTTCATCAACAGACAGTGCTAATTAAATGATCTGTAGTGGCCTTGGTGGGTGCTGGGAGGAGATGGAAAAATCTGTGTTAATTTTCAGGAAAGGCTTGTTGTTAGCTAACACTGGTGGGAAGACTTAGCCTCTCACATTCATTCAGCTGGGAAGATAATTTCATGGAATCATGGGGAAAAAAAAAAAAAAGAATTCAAGAGAACCTATAATCAAACTATATATCTGCTGTGAACAATTTATTATTTGTTATTTCCCCCTGTGCACGAACTCATTTTTAACTGGTAAATTTTCATGCATTTCAAAGGTTAAAAAAAAAAAATCGAGAAAGGACAAGGGGGTTTTGGTATCATGTAAACAGTAGCCTGCACAGAGACTCCTCCCATTAAAAAGCACTAGGTAATATTAATAACCAGGTCAAATAGTTAGAATTGCCATTGCTAAGGTAGGTTCTCCTTTGAATAGCAACTCCATTGAGACCAGCAGCTAGGTTGTATAAGGATTGAAGCTGCGGCCTAGTAGGCTTTGGTTACCAAGCATGGTGAGTGCTTTTGGTCCAAGCCAAAAGTGGTAGCAGAAAGAGAGAAAAGAGAAAATACACCAGCCTAGCTGACCATCTGCAGTATTTTTTGCAAGATGGGACAACCATGTTAGGCAGCCATGCATGCCGGAAGCAGAAACAGCTCAAATTTCCAATCTTTCATTTGCTTGCTTGGTTGCTAGTATCAGCTGCACGAGGCAGAAGGACGGCGATGTCTCATTTCCACAGACTGCAAAAAAGGCATGATGGAGCTTCTGCATCTCTCCAGGAATCTTCAATTCCCACCGACTCTTCCCTGGACTCCCAACATGGGAGCTCCTCACATTGGTCATCTCATGCCTATGTTCTCCTTAGGCATAAGCAGATTCCAGCTCTGAGTTTTAGTTACTTTCTAAAATAGGTTTCAATTGTGCTGATTAGTTATCCAAGACCCACACAGTTTTATCTCTAATTGATTTCAGTGGAGACTCAAGGGCAGAAGATCCGCTTTAGCAATTAGAGTTGGTGATATTTTCAAACTGTATAGTCTGTGAACGCTTTTTTCACACATTCCCTCCCACTCCTGCTCACACACATGTATCTACACACAAACATCCTGGCTTTCTAAAGTGTTCTCTTAAACCGTAACCCAGCCCCACACCTCTGTAGAGTCTTTGATTTCCCCTGGTACCGAGTAGCTAAGTGAGGTTTTAAACTCATGCTGGCCATGTAGCTTTATCAGACAGAGTCAAAAAATAAAGAAAAAATACTTTACCATCTTCAGAGATGATAAATCTGAACAGTGCAGGACACTTGACAAAGACAATTTCACCCACACTTGCAGGTTTCCAGCATGTGATATTGTCCCACATTCCTGGGCAACCTATAGAAGAGAAGGAGGGATAAAATACATTAGTGGGGGAAATCCATTCCTTTCTTCACACTGTTATTGCACTTTAAGTTGGCTCTTTCTTCTATCTGTAAAAATATGTTTGTTTAAAAAAATTAATAATATCATCTCCTAACAAGACTTCCCTGGAATAAAATAATATTCATTCATAGGAATAGCATAAAATATGTAGTTACATGGCACAATAATGTCCAGACTTTACCCTGGCAGCAGATGACACTTCTTAGTCCCAGTTAAATCACTCCAAGATACACCAGAAACAAATTTTCCCTACCACCATTTAGCTATCTTTTAGTATCATTTAGCTATCTTTCAGTATTGCTGAGCTAAATCTTTAGGCATCTTTGATTTAAATTCTATACATTTCTGCTGGCCCTAATGCTCATCAAAGTTTGGGATAAAAGACTTGAGTGGTAAAGAACCAACCTCCTGTTACAAGTATGCAGAAAGAAGAGGTGATTGGACTGCGGATGGGAGGTGTCTTCTCCTAGGATATCAAAAAAATTGAGGTCCCATATGCTATTGTAAATACAATAAAGGAGCCCATATCCTGCTTCTTTCTGATCACTGTGGCAAACTATGGCTGATTTTTAAGAAGCAGCTATCTATGCGTGTCCCTTCCTGTAATTCTGTAAACCACCGTCTTACTAGCTCATAAACTTCAAAGATTTATCCGGTGTACAGAACAACTCAGAGTAATCTCTCAAATTTCCTACTTATGTCTAAAAAAAATGACTT